GAAGCGGGTGGCCTCGCCGATGAACAAAAAATTATCCCCCCAAAGGGCGGGGGGGGGGGGGGTAGGTTGCTGTCGTTAAATCACTCTGTGAGCGTCGCAACGAACGCTACATGACTGCCCCGCCCCCCCCCAGTAGAGAAGCGAACCGCCTCGTCATATCGAGGCCCCGCTGCTAGAGACGCTGAAAGGTAAACTAACCCACAGGTGGTGATCGGTGCAGTATGCTGGGCCCCCGCTGCTATGAGTAGACACCCATGACAGCAATAGACAAGCAGAGGAGGTGGTCCGTGCAGCAGTATGCGGGGACCCCACTGCTAGACACGCTTGACACGCTGACAGGCACAGACAAGCTGGCAGGCATAGACAAGCAATATGAGGTGGTCTACGCAGGCCCCCTGCTGCTAGGCATGCTTGACAGGGTACTAGCAATATGAGATGGCCTGCGCAGCGGTTGTACGGGCCCAAAGCACGGACGAAGAGACCATCACGCATGTATGAGCGAGCGTGAGAGCCGTCCGAGAAGGCGTGGGCTGGCTCTAATCTTACTCGCCTTGGCAATCGAGTTGGTCTTACGCATACAGCCAGCGAACATTGTGGAAAAAAATAAGAGGTTATTATTTGGAACTTCGCGTGCAGCTGTAGGCCGGCACTACGCCTTTTGCTCACTGAACGCTCAAAAAAGAAAACAGATACGTGTGTATGTTGAATGAAGCCCGGGGTTTGAGAGCAACAGAGGGTAGTAGTTCGGATCGAAGCATGAAGTGTTGGTACAGACAAAGTAATGCCATCCGATACATGCCGAGGGGAACGGTCATCAACAGCTCCAAAACGACAACAACAATCACGATAGAACGCTGTTGTTGTTGTTGTTGTTGTTGTTGTTTTTGTCTTCACATTAAAAAACCGTTCCGATCTCTCTACCCTGTACATTCATTTGTCCGTACTAATCTAATACTTGACGTGGTCGATTCCCGGGGTCACAGGCTAACTTACCCTGCAAACAGGTACATATACTCCTCAAATAAAATGGACCCCATCAAAAACAACACAAAAAACGTGTGCAACGCAACGCTCGCGCGGCCAACCCGGGGCTCACATGGGGATCTTAGGGTGCGCGCCGGACGCCAGTGCCTCCTGCCGGGCGGCAATCGCCGCCACCGCCGCCGCCGCCTGCTCTCGAGACGCCGGCAACCCGTACGGCATCGGAGGCGAGGAGGGCCCACCTCCGCCTCCGGCGCCGCCGACGCCGCCGAACCGGTAACCTACCGCACCCCCGCCCTCCGCCGCCAGCGCCTGTTCCACCGCCGCCTTGGCTGCCGCCGCTTTCGCCGCCGCCGCCGTCGCCGCCGCCGTCGCCGCGGCCGAGCGGGCCTGCTCCGCCAGGTGGTGCTTCTCCCGCTCCCGCTCGTGCTGCTCCCTCATCTGCCGCTCGACGTGCGGGGGGTAGTCCGGCGTCGTCCCCACGTCGATCGAGTCCGGTTCCGCCGCAGGCGCCATCGGCGCCGGCGCTGCCGCTGCCGCTGCCGTCACCGGAGCCGTTGGCGCTCCCGCCGCTGTTTTTTCCGTTGCCGTACTGAGGCGTGTCCATCGCCGGAGGCACGCCCGGGATCGTGAAAGAGCTGGGAGATATTACGTTTACGGCGGGAGGAGGGGCTCCTCCGCCGCCAACGCCGCCGCCGCCCGCGGCCGCCGGGTTGAACACCATGCCCGGCGGCGCGCCCACGTCGATTACCCCGCCCGTCTGCTGCTCCACCACGGCCGCCGCG